ATAATTTCTCAGCCGTAGTGCATATTGTTTTATCTCATCATACTACACGAGGTCAGATGTCGTTGTTAGACTTTGATATCCTATATAATAGCACATCTTAAGCTGGTGTGTTTTACGCAAATACTGAGAAGTGATCAGTTATATCGGCATAGAGGTTTCAAGTGATGTTTTTCACTAGGGCCTTGTTACCTTAAACATGCGGTCATGGGTTACATCTTGAGCTGTGCTCTTGTAGACAATATATACATAGCATTCAAAGAGCAGCGTAGGCGCATATGTATTTGATTGTGTGAAATAAAGTAGCAATGAATCATGTAATCATAGATTTCTGGAGAGGAACATGGACGGTTGACGTAATTTCTGCGGTAGAATTCTTAGCTTGCATACGCTATTGAATACTCATTGGTGATTTCGTAGTATGCATGCTCACGGAAGTGTCTGTCTGTGATTGGTAGGCTTGTGTCACAAGCAAGTACGTTCGTTGCTTAACGATAGTTATCCTTCAGCGATTAACGGCAGATAGTTTGAAGTCTGAGTGTCAAAACTAAAACAAGGTCTTACATCAACGACGCTGAGGTCCTGCCTCTCTAGTACATATAATCAGTTTGTCTACCTAAACTTGTCTAGTCATTGGGTTGACAATATTAGGGTTACAGAACTGAGTGATATTTGGTTGCCGGTCTCTCGTTGTCGTCTTAATACTGGTATCTTCTGTCTCCTCACAGTTTTCGAACTTTGGCTATTTGTAACAATGTAACCATGCGTCTGCTGTGCTGTAGTGCTGTTGTCTTAATACTTGGGCTCTTAATGCAAAATCTCACTTATGCTCGTCATTGAGTATGGCACTGTGTCTATCTAATAAAATAGCTAGAAGATCGAAGTAAATTGTCTAATATAAACAGAAAACAGCTATATTCCTCTTTGCTTCGTGGCGAAGACCAGAAACGATCTAGATCACGACTAGCAATATGGTAGTTAGCTAGTGTGACCCCTGTTCATGATGACAGGCACTTTGCAAATAGCAGACCAAACGGCGAAACTATCTAGCTGTTGGCTTGTACTGTTTATGAATCCGAACTTGTCGACGGGGTGGGTGTTGTCTCTTCCCGTTTCTGTAGATCTACATAGACGACGTTTGAATCTGCGACGATGAAAGCGATGAGCGTTTTCGCCTCCTAGCTCTCCGACCGCTACTTTCTGCTCAGAGCAGAGCTTTAAGGCACACGCGGCCCTTGGAGTTGGCCACAGCCCGCCAGCACGGGTCCCTCTAGCATTGTTTACTGCGAAGTTAATTCGCTTGCGCTTGAGCCCATCATCGCTTCGAGTTTGCGTCATCTCGTAGCAGTTTTAGACAGAGCTGAGCGAGCTAGCCAGAGAGTATATCGCACTCAAAGGGTCAAGATGGGGCATGGGCTCGCGCGTTCGTAAGGTTGGCCGGGGTCGGTAGCCTTGTGGCACGTTGAGATATTTTGAGCATCCACTAAGTAACGGCAGCTACTACTATATCGGAGGACTCGAAGACGAGGATGGGGTGGGAGCCGGCGTGTCTGTTTTTTTGCTTTCAAAGGATACGGGAGGTAGTACAAAACATAAGCGCAAGAGAGAAAGAAGAAATAGAAAGAAGAGCAGAGAAGAAAATGTTGGGAGAGCATCGTGCCGATGCATTAGCAACAGCTACTCCGTTTGCCACTGGCCACCCATGCACATCTATGGAGCTGTTCTCCCTTGCGGGTCCTGGCAACGCTTAGCCGATCGACATCAGCAGCTGCTGTTGCAGGACTAACGGTCGCAAACAGGCAGGCAACCAGATACCACAGAACAGTCAGGCAAATCAGGCTTTTTGAGGTCTGTACTGCCGCTGCTGTTACTGTAGTCTGGGTGTTGGCTGGGATACATCGAGGCAGGTATCTCGAGCTTGGTTCGACACGAAAGCTCTGTAGAAAGGAGACGTTTGTAGAGTTTGCTGTTGCTGCGACTGCTACTGCATGCTTGCGTGAGACTTATAGTCGTGGTGCTGTTGTTGTTGTGAGAAGTTTAGCTGGCCAGTTGCTACGCGTACTGTTACGAGGAGCAACGCCCGGCGACTAGCGAGTCGGCCGACCGGCCCCGTTAGAGTCGTACGCACCCAGGCTAGTTGGTTTTGCTAGTTTTTGCTTCGCTTCGCTATAGAGTATAGATGCTGCTATTCGTTTATTGGGACATAGCGTTGGCTGAACGGCCAACAGCCGCGACTGCCGCCACCATCGCCAACGGCTACCGCCCTTTTCGTTCGACGTGCCCGAACGTTGCTTCACTTCCTGTACGCTACAAACAGTGCGCTATATTTCTTGGACTCTGACTGCTTTTCAGTAAATGGCCGATTGAAGACAAGCGAAGAAACAACGGCAAGCAGTTTCAGCAACGCAAATAGTGATCGGGTCAGTTTATCTCGGGTGCATTATCCTATTATAAATGTGTTACTACAGTCGTTGTCGTTCCACTAACAATATGATATGTCATTGCACTATGATTAAAGGAGCCTCGAGTGCTGATTACAAAACTTCGGTCAATTTTTTTTTAGCTGAGTAGAATTTGTAAAGGTAAGAAAATCAATAGCATTGGTTGCACCCAGCTATGGCATATTGCAAGGTTGGTGCATGATTTTGGGAATGTTAGCAGGCATTGAACTCATGAAGGGACTATCTAGGAAGAGTTTTACGGCTATTCAAAGATGAGTGTTTCCAAAAGCGGTGCCTTAATTTGTGAGTGGTAAGGTCCATGCGTTTTACCTTTGCGTCATCTTATCTAACAGTAATCTAGTGAATGACTTGTGCTATTGCTAGCGACTGATCCCTCTAAACCAAGCTTTTCCTTCCCACTTGCCCTTAGTGGACTTAATATCGTTTTTAATCGCAGGAAATCAAAGAACTAGCTCTTCCGTTGACCCTGAAATCAGCAGTCAGTTGTAGCCTGCTAGTCTCCCGACTGCTTCTTTATCGTATACTAGTTGCCTCACATATGCTTGAGCGATTATCGGTTCAGAGTAGTGCAGCTAGTTTGTCTGCACCAAACACAGGCATGTGCTAAACGGGTAATCCGATATGGAGTCTTTGCTCTTCTATTAACAAAGTCGTTGGGAGTGTATTTGTTCACAACGTGTCAAAAACGGCTTGTTTGGTACGAGTTCATGATACCAATTGTAGGCTATCATTCTACACCAGGACACCAGCGCGGCTTAGGCTAGATTTTAGGTTTGTACCATTTACAGAGGGCACTGTGATGCGTTGGTGCTGCTCTTACTAATATGGTACTACTGCGCTTCGAAGGGGGCGGCGAAAGTGGGAGCACGAACCGTCTGTCTTTTGGAAACCTATCCAATAGTCAAGAAACAGCTTTTAGCCAAAGGGTGTTGTCGAAAACAATCTGCCTTGCTGTGCTGATGTAGTTGTTGTTACTGCAGGCGAAAAGCTGTTCTGTAGTCTGTTTATCTGCTAGCTGGGTCTATAGCAGCAACAAGGGACAGGCTTGTCTAATTTCGGAGAGCGACACGCCAGAAACAGCCGCAGTAGTTGCAGTCGTCATCGCTGTCGCTTTGCGTAACAGCAATTGCAATGGCGCATCATACATTGTTGCGCCCTGGCTGATGTATTGTAAAGCGTTCAAGCGAAGGCAGCCATAAACGCGCGCAGTGCAGCCGCTAGGCTCATTAAGCGCATGAGGCAGCCAAGAGCCAACAACCAGTATCAATTCCTATTTGGGTAGTGGCAGAAGATGAGACGGTTTGCTCTCTTATAGCTTTTTTACCGTCGTCGTTGTCGCTAACCAATACCGCTTGCAGTAGATTGACGCCAGTCAACACAGAACGAGACCATCCAGATGGACAAACGGATTTTGACGATGAACAGAGCAGTGGCGGGAACAACGACTTTTGTTGGCGCTGCAGTCGATGCTGTCGGACCACCACCGACTACTGACGTCGCTGGCTATGAGGCGGTCGACGGCAGATGACAACAAAGACAAAAACAATAAAAGGTACATAGACAGCGAATTGCACTGCCGGTGTTGGCGTTTCTGTGGCTGCTTTAGAAGTGCAAGTAAAATACAGCAGTGACGGTGACGGCGGCGGGTTGTGTCGAGGCGCAAAGAGTTGGGAGTGGTTTGTCACGCCGTGTGCTGTTGCTGTGTACTTTACGTAATAGTAACAAGGAGCTATCCCGTATATCCTGCTGGCCCGTAGGCAAAAGGCGCGCAAAACGCTAGTGATTTTTTTCCTGAACGTTAAAGAGACAGTTGGCCACTTGCGTTGGCAAGGAAGCGAACAGGAGGAAATATTTACAATGAATGCAGGCGGTTGGTGGAAGGAGGACACGGAAACAGATTATCGTTTATATATATATATAAACAGCGACAATCAATTTGGAGCCAACGTACGCCCCTGTGTAGTACAAACTGCACCACAGACACCATCTCTCAGCGGTTGTAGACAACGTTGCTGCAATCTGTTTTCATTACTTATGCGTTGAGTGACGAGAATCCGGTCTTCAACTCATAAACTAATACGTATCGAAGAGCTATTCGACAAATAAGTACATGATCTTTGCATAGCTCGCCGCAGTATACTTTCCTGAAGTTTATTCATATCAGGCGTTATACTAAGGTTCTGAGATCAAAGATATTCTACTAATTGACGTTTTTGACTCATCTTCGATGAATGAGTTCAAGATCATGATCAGCCCTCTCATTACGATACACTAGGAAGTTGGGGAGATTGAATGACGAAGACGAGCCTTATTGAAGGGGAAAAGAGAATAATAACACTAATATGTGAGGTAAAACATGAAAACCCATTCTGAGCAATTCGGGACTCGCCTGCAAGGGTCAGACCTTGTTGCATCTAACGTGGCTTGTTCGTTCAGCTCATATACACATACGGCTTTTAAACAATTGGCAACTTTAACTTATTATTATGATATATTCTAGTAGCAACAGTATTCATATAGTCACATGCTTTCATTTGACAGGTTTTGTAGCCCGTTGTTTGTGTGTCTGTGTGTGTGAGCGTCTGTGAATATTACGTTAGTCGCTTGACAACAGCGACCAAAACACCCAGGAGAGTAGTCGCTGGAAAAGCCGCCGTAACCGGACGGTGCTAGTGACTCAGGAGCAGAAGGACTTCAAGTGTGCTGCGAAGTGAGCAGCCCAGGCTAAACTCACACAGACTACAAAGAAATATAGGGCAGAAACTCACCGAAGCGATGTCTTCCGGAGTGACTGTTTCCGTCGACGCCAAACAGGTGTACGATGATGTAAAGAAGAACAAGCATCACCGATACATTATCTACTCAATCAAGGATGAAAAGGTAACACGCGGGTTTCAAGAAGGTTTTATATATAACCTATTTATCGTGTGGGCAATGTTAAAGGATTCCGAATTCTTTCAACTTTGAGCTAGTAGGGGATAAATTATAATTATGCTTGACTCTTCGAATTATGTCCTGAATAGGTCCCATAGAAGGCGGTGTTTAATTTACTTTGTCGATTTACTGCTTCAGGTGATTGAGGTCGAATTCAAGGGCGACCGAAATGCGTCTTATCAGGATTTCCTTTCGCAGATGAAGGATCTTAAGGACCAGTGCAGGTACGAATCGAACCAAATTTCTTTTTCCTGATCGTCAGAGAAAGCTTAAGTTGATGCGGAGTACTGTAAAATTATATTGCCCCTTTTTTTTTCAAACCTGTTGTGTGAAATATTTGAGTAGTTTTAGGCGACTAGATTTGGATTTAGTGAAAAAAGCTTTTCTGATTGATGTGAAAGGCTCAAATTGATACATCAAAATGTTCGTACCTTCTACTGTGTATGCAAAGGCGGACTTATTTTTTTTTCATTTACCTATTGCAGGTACTGCCTATTCGATTTTCCTGCGCAAGCACCCCAGGAAGGTACGAATGAACCGTCGATGATCGCACTCGATCGCCTTGTGCTGATGACGTGGTGTCCCGAGGGTGCTAAGGTCAAGCAGAAGATGTTGTATGCCTCGTCGTACGATGCCCTGAAGAAGGCCCTCGTCGGCGTGTACAAATACGTTCAGGCTTGCGACTTTGAGGAACTCTCGCAGGAGGCCATCGAGGAAGCATTGAAGAAAAAGTAAATTGAGTTGGGACCGATATAATCATGGATAAAGGATACATACCACATATTGCGGGTACATCGAAACCCAACAAGACCCAACGGGGGGTAACCTAGCAAGCGACGGAATGGAAGGCAGATAGCAAATACATCTACAGACCGAAAACGACAACCAACAGCAGTAACAATAAGAACAATAGAATTACGCATCATACCTGATAGCAGCAGTAAAAAAAGTAGCAAAGGATATAGAGGAAAGTGAGTATAGGAACAAGACACTCGACGCGAAACGACGCGGCGCTAGTTTATAAGCAAAACAGCTCAACGTCACCAGTAGACTCCAACGGATGTCTAAACTTTTTCGTTGAAAGGGGCTGACATGATGCTGGCGCCAAGTGATCTTGATGAAAGGGCAAGTGTTAGCGATGAGAAGAGGCTCACAAAACCGCAAACCACTCAACACCGGAGAATCACTGATGAGATTGCAACACATCACTGGATCATCCGGATCACGGAGCAGTGAAATGGAGTTCACAGGGGTGACAGAACAAGGTCCGCATTAATCGGGAGTTTATTTGCGGTTTAAACACGCCGATAGCTCTCGCAAACAGCGATTGATTCTACATCTTTGCTCTGATCTCCAATCTAATTACAAAGATGCCCTTTGATCAACTCTGACGTGGTTCCAGCTTGCGTCGTCGTCGTACACAGCTTGTTCCTAAGATCAACTTTAATGACATTAATACGAAACGGAAAATAAACCTGAGAAACGGAATGACTAATAAAAAACATAACAGTAATAACGAAAAAATGATACTGAATTATAACTACGGAAACACATTGTGTAACCATACATCAACAACAACAATAGTAGACAAAAAGGTAGTCGTATGCCACCTTGTAAATCTCTCGCCCAAAAAATAAAAGCGGTGTGCGAACGCGCAAAGCTTTCTGACGTCATTCAATTATTATTGATAAGAACAACATTATAATATGAAAATAAATGCTGACAATGACGATAGTGAATATCAAGCGCTGAGTTATGCCAGCTGCTAAGTAAGGAAAGCCGAGATATGAGACGATAACGAGATGGTGATGATTACAATGACGGATTAATAATAATAAATATATAATGATAATAATTATGATTAAAGAATGATAACAAGATGGTGATGATGATGGTGCGATATGAACGCGAAATGGATAATTATGTAAGACGTGGACGGAGCGACGGCGGGTATAAGAGGGGCTTATTACATGTGGAGACTCGTGGAGCGTGGAAAAGTGAAGACATTTCGAAATAGGAAGATTTCACACGCCGAAAAAACGATATATAT